ATGTAACTATGGATATACGGATAGGATGCCAGCGTCGCACAATAAGCCCACGTAGTATTTAACCTATATTCGTGATAGCACCGGTTCCAGGAAATCAAACTCTGGAAGCAAAGCAAGGTTTCGGTAACGCCAGCCAAGACCGAGACAGACACGCTCTCGGCCGGCATTTTGACTCCATATGTTTGTCCATAGTCACATGAGAAAGCTTGGCAGTTGATGCACGCATGTCGCGCGCGCACACGAACCGTAGTATCAACAATAGTTTTATCTATTACCATCGTACTATATATACCCCTATATCTATAATATACAAATTGACGCTAACTAATTCTCTGCTTCTTGCGTCGCCCAACATTATTATGGTCAAATGATGCTTTCCTCTTTTGGTGATCAGCGCGTCCAAATTGCGCGTCCAGGCCTTGGGCTTTGATGAGTCGGTCAATCGAAAAGGGCGAGCCACTGATGTGAGTTGTCGCATCATCCAACTTGAGCCACAATGTGAACTGTCCACGCGACACGAATTCGATTCTTTTGCAGAATCTTCCACTAGCGTCGGCGAAGGATCGGTCGCCAACCACACCGGGAAGAGGCCGCACATCCACCATAAAGCATGCCTTGCCCTCTGCGAGCCGCCTTATCAGCGCATCAAAACCATCGTCGGCCGGGCCCAAGACGCAGCGTATGCTGCCGGCGACCTCTAGAGATTCCCCTGGTCCTTGCGGCATTCTGTCTAGCTCAAAATAGAAGAGTGACGCGACTGCGGCGTGGGCCACAGCCTCAACGCCGCCCGAGATTCTCACATCACCTGCAGCCAGGGACGCGAGCGAAGGTATCATAGCGGTATCGTCAAGCCGCGGCTCCGACCCTTCGAAATGAACATTAAGGCGATGGATGCGTTGCGCAGTCTGGGTCGCGGAGCGGATGCCGTTCAATACACGTCTCACAGTTCCGTCACGCATCTTCTCCAGAAGGAGATCGCGAGCCCTCGTGAACATGCCAGACTTGCGCAGGCTACGGCGGTCCTGCTTGTCGGCCTCGTATGCTGCTGGTGCTGGCTCGCCCGTACCTAGTGACAAGACCATGTCTGGCTCCGCGACGTACGGAAACAGCGCGCGCATCTCCGACAGCGCCTGGCTAATGGGGTTGTTCTCGAGCGGCCCGGCATCTTGGAACGTCCCGACTTGGTCGATGTGGGCAGCTGGGAAGAATCTAGACTGGCATTAGTTCATGTACAAAGTCGTGCTTTCTATGAGGTAGGAAATCATGATCTGACCCTGGGGCGGCAGAGATGGCACGAGCGCTTAGTAAGGTTAGTAGGGAGTTCTAAAAACAGGAGGGAGGTTAACGAACACTTCCCATTGCGGCACCTTCCCAAATCCATCTTCCGCCCGAATGGTGGGCTCACCTACCACAGCGCAGTTAGGTCCGATGGGGCAAAGCAAGGAGCTGAACGCACCTGTTGGACTCGCAAGCCTCGCACCAACCCCGTTGTAGTTCGTGAAGATACGACACGCTGGATGTGTGTGCACTGTTGCCACTGGCAGACCTATCCTGGTCCCTGCAGCTGTCGCAAAGGATGCGCCTAGGATACTTTGCCCTGGATGAAAGACCTTCTTCAGCACACTCTCGATGTCTTTTACCGGATACAGCCCATCGGCGAAGATTGTCATGACGGACCGCCAGAAACGCGAAAGTACCGGCAGACCCCAGCTTTTACGCGGGTTGAAGATGGCAACCGCCATCTGCTTAAACAGCTGAGTGGACTCCTCAATAGTTGAGCCGTTGAAAAACATGTTCATGATGATTAGCCCTCCTACCGTGGTCAGTGCAGCCATTCCACTTCTTCGCCTCTACGTACCGGAGCTCACACCGAACGCGAGCTTGAAATATTGCTGGAAAGGGATTGGGAGGTCGATACAGTCCTGGATGCGTTGCATGATCGTCAACGGTACGATGCCTCTCGTGCCTCCGCCGTCAATGCAAAGGATACTAACGCCTGCCGTCGGTGGATGCACACGAACTCGGATCTCCCGCTGCATTCCCATGTGGCAAAGAGGACACACACAAACACGATATAGATATGGATGGTGCTGCTCTTGTTCGCCGTGTATAACGACGCAGTTTTCGCACAACATATGGCTGCACTCGAGTGCATACTGCGGAGTGCGTAGTGTACAGCTGAGGCAGGTACGTTCGCTTCGTAGGGCCCCCCACCGACCGCAGAATCGCTTTAGGTTTCTCTGATGAATCGCAACTGCGGACAATCCGTCTGGCTGAGTGTGCTCCGCGAAGTATCGTTGAAAATGCTGTTGTAGCATCTGAAGGAGGCCAGTGCGTAGTAGCACGTCAGCGGAATCGGAAAAGGCAATTACGCGACTGTCCGGGCAAACTCCATCGAAAGCTCGAGCATAGAGCTTCGAGAAAACCTCACTCGGTTCAAAACCTTGCTTGTTGTTAGACTCGGTATGAGACAAAGAGATCCATTACTTACAATGCGAGTCCGGTGGGTAGCTGTCGAGAAAGAGACATGATGCTAGCATTGGCACAGCGAACTCGGCTAACTGTGATGTGGATGTGAGTAGAGCAAACACGTTAGCCAAGTGTTGGCCAAGGTCACTGGGTACCGGACGAGTAGCCCGCGACGCGATAACGCAATCGAGCGGCTCTGCGGACGATTCAGCAAAGTGGGCGACGGCAGAGTTTAGGAGAGTGGAGAAGTGTCTCGCCGAGTATAGGCATCCGCGATCGGCACGCTGATGAGCAGTTGCACGCGACTGCTCCTGCAGGAGCTCCTTCAGGCGCCGGAAGCGAGCTTGAGGTGAGATTGTACCACGTGGTAGAAGCGTGACGAATTCGAGGTTGGATATACACTTGTGGATGTCGACGGATGTTTGCTGGCGGACAAGGCTAAGGAAATCACGCTTGGCATTTTTAGCATTGGGCCGTTCCGTCACCACCACGAGGGCTGGCCAAGGACCGTCTGGATGTGCTGCTGGTTGGCAACGCTCCATCCATCGCACCACCTCTCGAGCTGTCTTGGTCAGTCCACCGAGATCGGATGCAAAGATACAGATAACATTTGTGAACTGCCGTAACAGCCGTGCGTAGACATCGGTCGCGATGTGGTCGTCACAAGGTCGGAGTGACCGCACGTTTGTGCGATGGCATGGACGGCCTGCCGCCTCTGTTTGGGTTGTGTGCGGGATCAGTTGGAGAGATCTTCCCTCTGCCACAATCCAGGGCCGTTCGGTAAACGTGGTTGATGAGTCCAAGTATAGATGTATACTGTCGATGCTGCGTCTGCCCTTGGACGAGGCTTTGAAGCCAAACAGCGTTCGCAGCGCCGCCCCCTTCTCTGAATCACCGATGGTGACTAAGAAAATTGGATACTGAGTATCTAGGTTGTGTAGGAGACTAAGCAAGGCGCTCAGCCTGTCTGTCTCTATCAGGGTTGGTTCCCCTTGGACACGCTTGGCGCCGAGCCAGCTGGAGTGCTTGCAGGGCGGCATTTCCAGACTTGCGCAACTGAAAATGAGTGGGAGCTTGTTTTCAATCAGGACAGCAGATCTTTCTTGAGATACGGTCGTGTTATATACAAGAATTGGGCTAGAACCAGTCGACTATGAAACAGGGGCTTCTTTAGAGATGCCGTTGTCCCGAAGTAGGAGCAGACCAGTTTTGGGGTCTGTTCTAAAAATGTACTCTATACTCTTATATCGTTCTGCCGTGCCTTTTTCCTTTCTGCCCTGTAATAACTTCTAGAGAGTTGTTCGCGATGATGGACTTCGCTCTCGCTGTCTTTATGGCTTTCATTGAACAGACATTGGCCGAATACTACTCCAGCGTTGGCCCACACTACGAAATGTCCGACGCTCCTCAAGGTAAGGTGTTTGTTAGGAACTACTGTGTCAAGGACTTTTATGCATACCATACGACTGCATTTGACGATCCTAATCCTGAGAATGGAATTGCACTCAAAGCCGGCCATGAAATATCTTTTCCTGTCATCATTCCCGAGAGGGGCTGTCAGTGTGGAACAAGTATAAAGCTCTTCGAAGCCCAGACGAAATCGGGCAAGCAAACCCAAATGGAGTATAGCATACGTGATGTCGGCGATCGAAAAGACTGGTTTATAAGCTATGACATCTCTTTCGTGGATTGTGCAACAAGTACCCCTGGCGTTGTTGATACCTTTTTCAAAAATCATACTGGTCGAGGGTGTCCTGGATGGGACGAGGGCGTCAAGGTCTACGGAACTAATGGTCGCGAATGTGGTGCGATGCAATGCTCCAAGAGCAAGTTCTGTCCATGGGATGCATACTTTGAACCTGAGCCAGCCAAAGGCACAGAGAACCCGTATCAGCCTGTACGCCAATGCGCAGCCGGATCGATCGATGCTGACATCCATTTTGTTTTGTGCTCCGGCACCACATCCGACGGCGGTGATCCGGCCATCCCCGGCTACCGAGCACCTCCACCGGATGACGGACCGAACGCTACGCTGCAGCATTTCTCTGCTTCATCTCCCTCTCCCTCTCCGCCACTTGCCAGCTTGGTGCACCAGGGCACATCGCCTCTGTACAGCCCGGCAGACGATGGCGTCACGACACGTTATGCGGCTGCTCCAGCTATAGTGACGATTGAGGTCACCGGGACTGCCCTACTCTCTGAGGATAATGTTGCTAAGATAAAAGAGCACCTTGACTGGGTTGTTAGTTAGTGACTTACGTTGGCAGTCGCAGCAGTGAATCCTACATTATACTCACCGAATTCTAATGCTATGTCTCCGACGCAGACGAGCAATGATGACAAACGATCACGTACGTATATACTTAAATGCAGCTTCTATCCAACTACTTACACATATATAGTGCATCGCCTCGGTATTCTAAAACAAGGAACGCAGACCGATCAGCCGCCAAAACATCCATAGAAGGATATATCGCCTTTCACGCTTACCCGAGGACTGGGGCATGTCTTCATCCGAAGAGGTCTCCCAACCAACCAACGATCTACAGACTAGCCCGTTCCAGAAGGCCTTCTCCGTTGGGCGCAGGCCGTGAACAGCGGTGAGAGATCCAGGGTTCGGGCTATGGGTGGAGATGCTCGGGCTTATGTCGAAAGGTGTCGTACGCCTTATGAGAGCCTGTAAACTTGTGAAAGATGTTTGTACATTCAGAGAAATATCATAGATTGGGAACAAACATGTTTTTGTAGTGTCTTGGAGCCACAGAGCCTGCGCAAAGGGGTTGTCGATTGGCAGCATGGCAAATGATTAAACGCCCGGAAAGAGTGAGCGAAGACATCCCCCTCATGTCAGGCTCGCGTCACCGCCAATTAGGCCCGCCCGCCGGGTGGATCACGCTATCGTGTGCACATCGACCCAGTGCGATACGAGAGGACGGGACAGCCCGTTGCTGGGGCAGGGCTGCAGAGGGGGGATTTCTCGGCGATCGTCTGAGAGCCGAAGAAAACACGATTGGCGATGACACGAGACAGGCACGCGTCCCAGCACGACGAGTCTTCCAATCACGGCGTGTCTGGCACGCGTCGTGCTGGCGCGACCTCGCATTGGTTGGCAGCAGCGGCACCATGGCCGGATTACGGGCGCTTGCGCCACCCCGTTCGCCCCAAACAAGCTGTGCACAGGCATCATCAGCCTGCCCCGTGAGGGGGCCATGTCTGAGTCTACTGAAGCCAAAGTGCAGAGCAAAAGCGCGACAGAATCTGCCAGAAAGATGGTATTGGTAACCAAATGCAATAAATTTTGATTCTTCCAACTCCATCAAATGCTGCTCCTCGAAAATGCCGCTCATCAAATGCTACCTGTAGTCTAGATGCGATAAATGCAGCAAACGCAACCTGTAAATGCCTGGAACCAGAATAACACATCCCATGCTCCCAACTCCAAACCACGATAGAGGTATTTACATGAACAGCAAAGTGATGAACCCCTACATTGTGCCCTCTATATATGCCATAAATCGTTGTGCGGAAAGCCTCTGCACTTAGCGGATCACCCTTGCCCAACGACCATCACCCAAGTCGACTGGCTTGGAAAAGGAAACGTCGGGTCTGTGTCTATTTCTCTTGTTGGCCTGTGTCGAAACTAAGGCAGTGCGCTTCCTGTTTTGAACCAGCTCCGGAAGAAACATGGGTTTGTAGTCGTCCGGTGCTGCGTTCTCATGATCGTTGTTGGTCGGCGCATTCGTTTGGGCCACTCTGCGGCTGAAGTGTGATGCTTCAGGCTCTCCGTCTCTAACATCCCTCTCGGTCTCTATCTTAGAAATGCTGTTGTCGCGGGCGTCGGCGACCTCTTTAGGTTCCTCGTCTTCAGCATTCCTCTCGGTCTCTGCCTCACCATCGTTGTCGCCACGGGTGTCGGGTATTACTTCAGGTTCTTCGCCTCCATCCAATATTTCCGTCTCTGCTTCAGAATCGCTGTCGTTGCGGGCGCTGGGTGGTACTCCAGGCTCTTCGTTTCCATCCAATATCTCCGTCTCTGCCTCAGAATCCTCGTCCCCTGCGCTCTGAATCGCGTTTGTCATATTCTTGGTCAACTGCTGTGATGGCAAAAACATTTGTGCCTTGGTCTGTGGGCGCGAAATGAAACCCCAGTTGAGGTCGGTAATTCCAAGGTGTAGCTGTAGCCCAGGCTTCGGAAGCGGTTTGGAGAATTCGCTCGTGGATACCCGAGGCGGTGGAAGGTTGCTCCAGCGAATTCCAGAGCCGCTCACACCCTCTGGGTCGTGCCAGTCCCAGATGACGCTGAAATCGTAAGATGCCGGCTGATCTGCCACTTGCTGGACGGCTCGAACCGGAGCACCGTCGCCAAAAACGGGCGTGCAGGCCGCGGAAGGTAGTGCGTCTTCCCCTGCGAGCCCTTGGCAAGGCGTGACGGGTAGCCGCATCTGGCAAGTGAGCTTGGGCGTCGCCGGCACGTCATCCTCCAGAACTCTGTCGTCTGCAAGCAGATCTGGAGCTGCTGGGGTGACGGTTCTATCACTGTCGGACAGCCCATCGTCGGACTCCACCACACCATCGCGCCTAAGCGCTTCCTCCTTTCTCATGAGATTCTCTTTTTTTTGTTCCTCTGTAAAGGGTTCTGTTGTCCAAGGTAAAGTCGGAGCAATTGTTTGGCTTTGGTCCTCTCTCAGCAGGAAATTCAGGCACTTATCCACGTTCCACCGGGCCTCTGGCCTCTTTTCAAGCATTCCCTTGAGCAGAACCCGGTATTCCTGAGGGCATTTCTTCTCAATGATTGGACCAACTTCTTCGATCATCCATCGTCGTACATCGGAAGACGAGGACGGCGACCAGTCGGATCGCTGGCGGTTGGGGTCGTATTCCGCAAACATGCATAAAAGCACGACGCCGGTAGAGAAGATGTCAGCTGGCTTGCTGTAACGCTTGGAATCCAGGACCTCAGGCGCGCAATGCCAGGGCGACCCACACCTTTCCTCCACCATGTGGTCAGTAGACGCCACCATGCCATGATCAGTGAATTTGACGACCCATCGGCCCAGATCAAGGCCGTCGGCGTGGAACTCTACGAGCTCCAGCATTATATTGGCCGCCTTCATGTCGCGATGAACTGAATCGTGGTCGTGTATGTGCTTTAAGCCGCAAATGATTTGCTTAGCCATGTCCAGCTTGTCGATAGTCAGGGGTAGCCACTCGTCGTCGAGGCAGTAGTCCTGGCGTTGTTCGATGAGCCACGGTCTGTCATCAGCTCCGGGCTCGTAGGCTATGTCGCAGATCGGGTTGATGTGAAACTAGTGAAAACACAATCGCGTCAGCAAGGGACCAGCCCAGAGGGTGCGCGTCTGCTCGAGGGTCGCAAGCAAGAAAAATAGGAGACAGAAAGATGGATATACTCACATGCGGGTGACTTTGTACGAACTCAGCTTCTTTTTCCAGCATTTCTCTATAGTCCTGCATCGACTGACTATCGTCTCCCTCTAGTCTGACCACTTTTGCGACCAGCCTCAGTTGATAGGGTTTGAGTTGGTACTTTTCAGGCTCTTTCTTTAGCATCTCGGTCAGTCGTTTCTGGGTGGCGGTCTGCTTTGGCATGACTAGGTTGGAAACAGGTTGACTGATGATTTTGACAGGATACACGTCTCTGAAAGAACCGTGCGAAATCATTTTGCCGTCAATCTGGTAAACCGTGCCAGTCAGACCTATCCGTGTCTCGTATTTCATGCCAGTCAGTTCTGTCCGTGTTTCGTAGCCCGCACGCGACGGGGCCATGGTGGACCCGCCAGCGGATGTAATGCCTGGAAAGTATGTCTCGTCCAGGCAATTCCCACGATCATAAAAGGCCTTGATGTGTTTGATGAACTTCTTCTGTTCGGCCTTGTTGCGGATAGGTGACCACACCCAAAAACTCAGACATTCGGGGTCGTTATCGTTGAGATATATCTTAACTGGCTGGTTAAGAGTCTCGCTATGACCGAAGCCTCGCCTGAGAGTCCTTTTTCCCTTCTCGATGCGGATGGGGGGTTGGGGGTGGCGCATCTCCGGGGTGATTCTTGGGGTAGGCTTCTTGTTGGGGTCAGGCGCAAAGTCGATGCGAAACATCGAGCTGCTGATACCACTTTTGGCGTTGAGGGGATACACCATGTCGCACGGCCTCTCGCCTTTTCTCCTTGATCTCCTTGTCTCTGCGCCGTGGCGCCAGCCGTTTGACCGTTCAGGAAGCTTCGAAAAGGAATGACACAGTATGGGACCATCAAGAGCGGTATGAATCCCTCCCCGCCATGGTTCCGGCTTCTCATCGTCAATCTCGTCGTCGGTCTCGTGCGACACATCGCGGAGAGGCGGTTTCCAGATGTGTTCTTGATTAAGTGCGACAAATCTTTCTGCTTCCCGGCCCTTGATATGACCAATAAACACCGCGATGTCGCCAAGGTCAGTGGGCTTAAGGGGTGTGTCTGCGACAGAGCTTGCAGGTTCCTCGCCGCCAGCGGCATTCTCATCGTATGCAAACAATGTCATTTTTCTCTTGGTCCTCGTCTCAGAGAGACATGCAGGAAAGAGCACGGTGCGATCGAGAGTAAGGCAGGTCGGGGTTTGATTGCGACGAGGTTTGCGAACAGATTGCGAAAAGGTCGCGAATTGGTTGTGAATTGGCCAATCCAATATGACTTGAAGAGTTGCTGAAGGAGAAACAGGAGGAGTGGAAACGGAAAAGAGCAAAAGAGCCCCGGGGATAGGGCGGACGGCTGGCCGGCTTAATAGGCTGACTCTGTTGACGGATTCTCTCGAGCCACTTAAAGCATCAGGGAGGGGGAGGGTGAGAGGGTGTGAGCGAAGGAAGAAATGGCTTGGGGCAAGGGTGAGCGTATGTGTCCAATGAGGGGTGCATAGCGGTTGGTGAAACGGCAACCCACCGCTGCCAAGCCCGCACTTCTAGGGGTGTCGCGCGACGCCTCGGAGATTCCCAGCCACGCCTCGCTGCCGGGGATATTTTCGACCACACTTGACTCATTTTGTCACATTGCGACGACTTTTGGGGCGAAGGTTGTAACCTCCAATGGTGGGTTTCGGTTTCTCTTCGATGATGAGTTTCTTTTGCTCTCGGTCTTGAATCCGCGTCGACTTTCGGACTCCGTCAGATCGGCGCGGTCCATGTGAGGCTCGCGCAGAGGGGACAGTCTCCTCGCTCAAGGTTGTCGTGGTTGGCCCCCTGCCCGAAGCAGACTCCAGGGAGACGCCTGTGTCTGTCTCTTCCTCCCTCGCCTGGAGAAGAGGCTGCCGTCGCTCAGATGTCCTTTTGCCTCGTTGCTCTCTTCTTGTCCCGTTGTGAATTCCACGACGCTTCTTCTGCACACGGGCATTGGAGACTCCCCGGGGAACATCCTTGGAAGCTGCCTTGGAGGATGGAGAGGAGCGGTTGATCGAGCGTGAATCGAGGGGTATCGAAGTGTGTGTAGGTGATGCAAGCGGCGAGTCGTCATATTTGTAGCTCGAGCGTTCGATCTCTTCTTTGCGGTTGTGGTGGAAGCTGTGTTCTGGGTCCCAAAACTCTGTCACCGTCTCAGGAATTTCCCGTTGCGCATTCTCAAAGTCGTCGGTTGCCGCGCCCGCGTCAAATAACAGTCTATCCAGACCATCTATCATTTTGAATAGATCTGATAGCCCAAGTTTTGAGGCATAACGTTTAATCATGTCCAGTCGCATGTGAATACGCACTCTGTGGTATGGCGGTTCCGGGATTTGCTCTCGCCGCCTCCGTTCTACATCCTCCGGGTCTACACCAGTCCACCAGTTCTCGTCCATGAGAGACTCGCAGTTAACTTTGGAGGTATCTTCGGGCGCTTCATAATTTTGTTGGATGGGTGTCCGATCCTGGAAATCCCGATCAACATCTCTTTGGAAACGCGTAGGAGTGTGAGGGCTCCCATCCTCCGACATTGCGAGTCTCTGTAGTGCAGAACAGAAACAAAGCTGCAGAGATCGCAAATCGGGCAGTAGCCGCCGCCATTCGGATGTGTTGAGTGACGGGTCGATCGAAGACGGATTGGCAGCCGGGCTGGAGTATTTCTCGCGGACGGTTTCGCAGGCGTACGTCGTAGTCGTATTCTCGTGGTCGTGGTGAGTGAGAGCTTTGTTGCTTGATTGACAGGAAGATGCCACGTTGTTGTAGAATGTGAAGATGCGACCGCAGAATGAGACTGGAAAAAATTCGGTACGCCCACGCGTTTAATTAAAGGCTGTCCCGCAGAGGATTGTCAAATCAGGCGCAACATTTCCGACTAGGCTCAACTCCGAGGCGCCCGAGCGTCTTGGCACACCATGGCTTAACTCTCGGAGTTTCGTTCACACGACGCCGAGGGCAGAAGAGCTAATGCGAAACCAGGCCTCCTCGATTACGCACGGACCACACGTCCCCATATCCGCAACAGAGTACCTTCGGAATATTCTACATTCTCCTCTCGTAAGCATGCGATCCAGTGTTGGGCGTTTGAACTTGGTCAGGGCCGTACGGCTCAGCTCACCGTACTGGTACCATAGCCGCCAGACATTGTACAAAGAGGCCGCCGACACACATACGAGGGGGACTAACAACGGGAAGGTCGTGGATTCACACGCGTCGCCAGGCGAAATGGACGCCTATATAGATATTTTCATTTGCAGGATCTCTGTTTCTGATCATTGGTGAACTACTCTTAGAGCTTGTCACAAAGCCCGAGAAACGACATCGCCGACGATTCTTGATGCCTCTGCACCTCGTCAACCCACTCGCAAAGTACGTAGCCTCCGAATCTACCTAGCTACAGCCCTCGTTCTGGCACCCTCGCTCTAGCACCTGATGCAGACCTCGTCGTCTCTGCGCAAAAACGTCCACCCGGTGAGCCAGCGCGAAGCCTGTCACGTCGGAGTTTTTGGAAATCTAGCCAGCAAACCCGCAGGTGTCTATCATCACATCAGCACCCACCTCGAATTTCTCTCAGCACGGCAAACTCGCGGTGTATGCCCATGGCAGATGGAGTGTTGAGGCGACGCGGTAGGGATCTGGTGGGAGGTGATGGCTCTGATCGAGGCGCAGGATCAGCCCTCCTGGATGGCCTCTCGGTTCAAGCACACACGGAATTTCCAGTTCGACGGCAAGAGCAGCATGCGCCTCACCTTGAACCCCGACTATGTAGCGACTCATCCCGACCCGACTGACCTCAGCCACGAGCTGCCTCGACTGCACCGCCGCACGAACGGGGCGCTCTGCATCTGGGTCATGCCACGGCGGAAGCGCGTCCATTAGGGTGTCGAATCTGCGCCATCTGGATAGGAATAGAACAAAGGAGCGTGGCGATAATCGCTTTCGTGTTCGACGTGGTGCCGAGCGGGAAATTCGTGGCGAGGGGCCGTAATCTGTGAGATACTAGAGCGGGTCGAGAGCGTTTTGAGAGGGAAAGGACAGAGCCAATGTAGCTGAGGATGCTCCCCGAGGTCAGCAACAACGTTGACGAGAACGGATTTTACCACCTCCGCAAGGAAAAGACAGTACTGGACGAAATCGTGGCAAACCCGAGTTATTTGCTTGGTCCAGTACCAGCAGGCGAGCACAAAGATGCGTGGAACGGGGTCGGCGCAGAGACTGGAGGCCAGTGATGACACAAATGACAAGTTTAGGGGCATGAGGAGTTGGCTCGCCGACACGGGTAAATATTAACACGTCAACCATGCTCATGTCTCGGTCTTCGAATCCTATTAAGCAGTGATTGACCGACGCGGCACATGGCTTTGTGGTTCTCTCTGTGGCCGCGGGATTAATGGCCAATGGGGGGAACCCGAACGTCCCAACCACCCACCAACGCGTGAGCTCATCATGGGTTAACGAATAGGGTCTCGCCTTCGCCACTAGTGCGTCAGCTTCGCGTTCCTTCGTGTCTATTCAAGAATCTCCCGAGCTGAGACTCACCAATTAGATCGCAATTATGCACCCTCTCGGGGAATCGGAACCCCCAATAGTATAATGCCGACCCGACAACTTCCCCTGAGCTTTTCTGTCTCCTGTGCGCCCAGTTTACATCCGAGGAGAAGAGCGCGATCATGGGAGAAAAAGGCTGCCCGAGATGCGACCTGTATATGGAACTCATTACACGGACACCACGAGAATGTAAAGTTGCTTTTGATGCTTTGAAGACTTTTACCGAGCAGCTGGTTCAGATCATATGGGAATTAAAGAGACAGAGACGAAGAGGGTAGCATCGCTTAGATACATTTCAAACGCAGTCACCGCTCCATGTAGAGATGGAATGATCAGACGCAATAGTTTGTGACTTTTGCCGTGAACCTTTCTTTCCCATCTTCCCCCTGTGAACGTCGCCATGTTGTTTGAACAGGACCATGGTCCACTACCCGTTGAAGTAGCGAAATTCCCTATTAGG